GTTTTGCATGAATAATTTAACTCTGTCAGGCTTCATGGCACCCATTTCTGGGCTTGTTACTCCTCATTTACTGCAAAGAAATCCCTTGTTGAGAAGTAGATTTAACACCTAAAAAATAGCGCTCTTTTGTCTTTGAGTCTGAGGCGAGCACAATCAAGAAAGGTAAGCCAATAAATACATAAATTGCATTCTTCTCTCAAAGCTATTTTATGCCAAATAAAGCCAAGTGAAAACATGTAGTATTATTAAATTGACAGGAAAATGCAAATTCTGTATTAATAATGACTACATGCTTTATGAAGTGCCAGGAATAGGGACTCTGAGGCTAATGAGATTACAGCAGCTTCTCTGAAGTGCCTGTCTAGTTCTTTCCTCGTCTTCCTCTTCTCCCACTGGCTTGCAGATCAAAGATCTTACTGGATTTCACACTGTGTTCTTAACATAAGGTCCTCTTGGTTGAATTTTTCAATCTTTTCTGACATATTAGACTGCCTCCCTCTGCTGCTGGTTATGAGTCATTAGACAGCCCTGGTCTGTTTTTATCACACGTATCTAGGCCACGAGTTTTTTTGGCCATTGACGAGCCACCTCCTGGGAGTGCTCGCTAGAGAATATGGTTCTAAGGGCAACCCCAGGCAGATTCACTCCTTCTAAGAAAGACTTTCTGTTTCAGGAATGGGCTTGAGCAGGATGACCCTAGTGACCTCTTAAAATGCAGGGTTACTGCAAAGGCTCTCTTCTCCAGCTGGTCTGGGTAATCCAAAGTCTTTGAAGGTTCAGAGGCTATCCACAGACTTTCTTTCTGAACCAGTGATCAGAACCTCCCTACACTATTCATAACTGCAGAAAGTTACCTAAAAACAGTCTGTTCTTCCAGAAGCTTTCAAGATCACTTAGCTCTCAGGCCAACCTTATTCAAACTGATATTCTCAGAAAGGCATTGGAGACCCAATGGAGCCCGCTTTATGTCCTGACATTTTTTTTATCCCTTTGCTTGACTGTTTTTAAAAGTGTTGGTCTCTTTGCTAACCAGACCTTAGCCAGACCATACTCTGATGTTCTAATCAGAGTATATGAATCTTTTCTCTTCTTTCCTTCTCCTGCAGAGTATGAAATAATGACTAGTGAATCTAAGATGAATTATGGGACCTTCATCAAATATTTAAGTTACTTAACAGGCTGTCGAGAAAAATAACCTCACAATTATTTAATATAGCAGATAGCATTCAAATTTTAGAAATTTTTGGTCTCCTTTGTTTCCCTAACATTCATTTCATTTGTAGAATATGATATTTTAAATATGGCTGAATGTGCGCTCTGAAGTTTCATCCTCAATTAAAGTCATTTCATATGTGTAGCTAGAAGTTTCACTTTTCTCTCATGAAGGAACATACTGATTTTCTTTTTAAAAAAAAATACACTGTTTACTCAGTGTATTTCTCTCAAGACATTGTGTGCAATGCTGGTTGCCAAGCCACAGAGAAAAAGGTGGTGAGGACGCACATGTTAGAATCAAAACAGTTCCCAGGAAAAGTCATTCTAGGTGTGTAAGATGGTGGTAAAAGTTTGGCTTCATTTCTGCAGCCTCTTAGGAGACCTCCCTGCTGGAATTAGTCATAACCCACTTGGCCTCACTTATGTAAGCAATCGTAGTGTGGATTACTTTTTGTTATTGTTTTACTGAATCATTTCTGTTCAGAGCTTCCCATGTGATTATTTCAGTGCAAATTGTCATTGAACTGCTTGTTCTAATCAGAGTATATGAATCTTTTCTCTTCGTTCCCTTTGCTCTCCCTCTCTCTTTCCTTCCTTCCCTCCTTCTCTCTCTCTTTCTTTCTTTAAAGATCTTAGGGCAGTTGGGCTAAAGAAAGGGATGTTCTTCAATCCTGACCCTTATCTCAAGATGTCCATTCAGCCAGGGAAGAAGAGCAGTTTCCCCACCTGCGCCCACCACGGGCAGGAGAGAAGGTCCACCATCATCAGTAATACCACGAATCCAATTTGGCACCGAGAGGTAAGACCGTCGTTGGTGGCCTCCTACCTGACAGGTAGGGAGCCAGCCAAGTCCATATCTTCCCTCTGGACTCCGTACCACTGAGCTGTTGGCGGGTATGGACAAGGTCGTTGAGGTGTCTAGGGGTTCTGTGAGAAAGGTACAATGAGAATGAGACACTTCTTCTAGCCAGGGCTGGGTCTCAGGGAAAGCAAGTGAGGCACTTCCTGCAGGAGCACGATTTATGGGGTCCAAAATTGATATTTTGATGCAATATTTTTTAAAATCAAAATCAGGGCAAAAATTCATGAGGAACGAAATTACGTAAGGACAGGATCAGTGGCAGTCCCTATTGTAGCTTGCAGCAGAAGGAAAAATCCGTAATACTGATCCCGTTTTTATTTAAAATTATGATACTTTGTTCTAGCATATATTCAGTACAGATTAATGTATGTTCTGGCATATATTCTCTCCCTCCGGGCTTTGGCAAATGTTTGTTGGATTTCTGGATTTTGGTTAATGGAGTGAGCTGTTGGAGGATCGCCATCCTGAGGGGAGGCAGATTGTGTTGGTGGCATTCAGACTTGCTCGCAGCTACAATATGCTGCCTGTCATCAGAGCGCACCGCATCAGTGGAATCAAGTGAAGGGGTTTCCCACCAGAACTGTTTAAAGTCCAAGAATGAACAGAGACATCGTTTCTCATCCAGGGAGCAAAGCATGCGTTCTCCTGCCATTTCTCAGGGAACCAAGACACGTTTCACACACTAGCAGTAGTGAGTGTGTCTGGGCAAACCTGTAGAGGCACAGGAGTTGCAAGTTGATTACATCATCCCCTAAATGTTTAATGGCAAAAATATATTCCAACAATGTTATACAAGTATTTCATTGGAGAGGGAGATACTTCAAGGGACCTAAAACCAATTGGAGAGAAGATGTGGCTATCTGAGGCTTAAGCATGCACGTAAGTATGGCATGTTTTCTTATTCCTGAAGAACTACTTACCATCTCCAAATCGTAAATAACTCTTATAGGCCTGCCACTTAATTTAACACATGAGAAGCCTAGGAGACATGAAGTTTATCTCCAGATGAGCCCTTAGAAGGCACATAGTGGATAATAATAATGATACTAGTAATAAAAAACTTTGTTTTCCCAACATTTATTGCTTACAAAGTTCTTAACTGTGTTACCAGTGCAAGCCTGATAAGCGGGTGAAAGGAATGAGATTATCATCTCTTCATTTTTGTGATCAGGAAACTGAAGCTTAGAATGTTTATGTCGCCAGCTGTTCAGAGGTAGGAGTAGTGCTTGACTCAGCTGTGGTAATCCAAACAAGTGCTTCTTCCATGAAGCCCATTACTGAACTTCACGGCCCTTTGGAGAAACTAAATTGTTATGACTAAATAAACTTAGCGACCCCTAAGTGTAAAGCTGGCTGGCACTGTCCCCATCACTGTGGTTGCATGGTTATTGCCCTGCCAGGAGGGAGATAACATGGTTCAGGTTAGATTCCTGGCTCTGAGTGAATAGAGAACCGACAGCAGTTGCAGATTTTTCCAGCAGTGTGGACTCTATGTTATTCTGATGTAAGAGATACCGTTTTCTAGAATAATAAGCTGGCGTACGTAGTTTCATATTTGTCTTTTTTTGAATCATGTTGTGTTTTTGTTTTCAGAAATATTCCTTTTTTGCACTCCTTACTGATGTCTTAGAAATTGAAATTAAAGACAAATTTGCCAAGAGCCGTCCTATCATCAAGCGTTTTCTGGGGAAACTAACCATTCCAGTCCAGAGGCTGTTGGAGCGGCAAGCCATCGGGTAATCAGCGCTCGCACGAAGGGGTCTTGTTGAGATTAGTTCCCACCCGAGCCACTGAAATGATAGTGTGTAGTCCTAGGACTTTTCTTACCAATAAGAGGTGGTAGCATAGTTCTTTTAAAAAATGAAAGTGCTTGTAAACTCGTTAAAATGTGCGGGACAAAAACCACTTTGTTTTAATTATGTACCTTTCTTTCGTTATCTGTCTTTTCCAAGACGTACCTTCCATCAGCATTTCAGCGGAAACAGTCATGGTGCTCGGTCGTTTTTGAGTACATTGAAATCTTGCTGTACAATCCTCTCCCTAGAGCTGGAGCCTAGTGTCAGGTTGACACCCCCCTATCCTGATTAACCCCATGCAGGGAGTTTGTTATTCCTGAGACTCCAAAACCACCTTATTTTAGGGCCACTTGAAACAAAACCTAAACTGAGGTGTTACGGTAGAGCTCTTAGATGTATACATTCATTCAGGCAACCAGAGATGACTTGTTGAGAGAATTTTAAAATGTGATTTGATGTCTGTTTTCTTTCTGTGAGCTTTTTGTGAGCTGTGAATAGTTAAGGAATCACATGCCTCCACCCCTCCTGATAAATGGTGTACCCATTTTCACATGGGAAGTACCAGCAAACCCAGGAGGTGCTCTGAGGTAGCACTGGGGGGCATCTTTTTGTATCTTTTTCGTTTTAGGAGAACATCATGAACATATGATAATAGTAGCAGTTGTCGGGGCAGCCGTCGCAGTGATGACGGTAGCTGTAGCAGTAGTCACAGAAGTAGTAAACAAAAGTAAACAAAAAGGATGACGAGACTGTGCTCTATGCCAGGAGCTCAGTAAATGACATTAGCACATGTAATCTTCTCAACAACTCTGGGAGGTAACTACGTGATTGTACCCATTTCAGAGATGAGAAATCTGAGGCTAGGAAGCAAGTGCTGGAGCAGATCAGTCTGCTCGAGAATCCTGGCTTCTCTGCAACACTCGAAGCACTGGCAGTAATGCATTACTACTCCAGCTAAGTGAGGATGGCCCATCATTCATAGTCACTCTGCATCTAATTAGCTGTTCTCTTTTGGCAAGTCACAATTTCTTCAGGTGTTGGTTTCCTCGTCTGACAAATAAAGTGTTGAGACTAGGTGATCTCTAAGGCCTCTTCGAAATCTGAAACTAACAGATTCTAATTTTTTGGCCATCAGAGGCAATGGAATTTGTGGTCGAGCCTGCCCACATGACGTAGAAATATTATGCTGAAATTTTAGCAGCCTGGAATATCTGATAAAACTGGGAAATCACAATTATGTTTAAGGATAGCAGTTATTGCTTCTAGTGGAGATAACATTCTTTGGGAAGTTTTTAAAAATTATTTTTAGGATTGATAGAAAGTGAAAAATTATGGAGAGTGATAATTCACTGTTAGAAAGATACCTATCATCAGTTTATGTAATTATAATAACATAATTTACATAATATCTATTACCCTTGGCAGAAATGTCAATTTATGGATACCCGTAAGAATGATCAAGGGAAAATAAAACCTTATCAGTGTTTGAAACTGCTGTTGACTTGCTGGCTTTTCATTCAGTCTTTTAAGGACCTGGACGCCTGGAGTCCTGCCTGTCGTGGATTCCATTTGCATTGGAAGGAAGTCCATCATGAATTTGTAAAATACTGGAATTACAAAACATTTCTGTATGAGTACATTAAAAGCATTGCCTGATACTTAGGGATTTGCTTGATTAAATAAATATGATGTCACATATTAGTATATCAACTGTTGGCATCTGGATCTATTTTTGCTCTGATTATTACTTTCCATCAAGTAATTAATACATCTTGAAAAATACAGGGTTTTCTTTACTTGTGAGTTTGGTAGACTGCAGCTCTCTGAAGTAGTTCAAGTTTTTACATGGTGAGATTTTACAGGATAAGTTAGAACTCCTTAGTAATTACCTATTTCGAGAGCATTGGTTTGAATGTGACATTGATTTTCAGGGGATGGCCTGCCTTCTGTCCAAAAGACACATCCCTTTCCCGTGCTTCGTCAGTTGCTCTGATCACACTAGTGAAAGATGCTCTCAGTCAGGTAGTGAGAATTCTTTGGCACTTACTGCCTGTAATTGTATATCATAATAATGTATAATATAGTGTACACAGTAAGCCATCCCAGCAAGAGGCAGAATGAATCAGATGAGACTGGGTAAGAAGAAGAAAGCAGGCGAATCCCCTGACAGGCACTCGGCAAAGGATGAAACCGCTGACTTGGAAAATCTCCCAACAGGGAGGCTTTCCTGAACTTACGGGTTGAGTAGTTGAATCGAGTGTCTCATCAGTTTGGGTAATAAACAGCTCTAATACCTGTTACAATCCTGTTTTCAAGTAAAGAGTCTCATTTGTTAATTTATTCAACAAATATATGTGTGTATACATATAGTGACTACTAAATGTTAAGCACTGTATTGGATATATGATAGTGAGCAAAACAGATGGCTGCCTGTTTGCTCTTTAGAATCCCTGCTAAACATTTACTGCCTAGCTAAAACCCATCACTTGTGTAAGTCTTCATCATCCATGCCAACACTTGACTTCTACTGGCTGGGGAGGAGGAGAGGAGGGTCAACTTATTTTTAACAAAAAAATTGAAGATTTTATTATTCCAGGACTGAATGTCCAAAGAGATGTGTGAGGAACCACCAGGTTGAAAGCAGGTCCAGGCAGTTTGCTGCTGGGTTCATGCAATATGGAGCCCCTCTGTGTGTCAGGCACTGTCTAAATGCTGAGAAGACAGTGGTAAGAAAAAGAAAAAGACACCCCTGCTGTTATGCAGATTACAGTCATTATAGAATTATTTGAACACTCTAATGGAAAAGCATTTAACATATCTGTAACGCCTAATAGTTAAAAATGCCAATATACCCCTTCCCAGAAAAAAAAATGTTTTGAATATCAGCTTAAGTAGACAGAACCTTATGGTAGTGGCTGCACTGAGATGAGCCATGAGTAAGTATCATTAAAATGCAAGCTACTGAAAGCAGTCAAGAAACACTGAGTGTGCATAAAATGAGATCTGATCTGCTGACTGCGGAGTGGGGGCTTCGGTGTCAGATGCGTCTGTGTTCTAATCCCGCTTCTGTCACTTAATAGTTGTCAGGCCTTGGGCAAGTTACTTCTCCTCCCCCGTCTCAGTTTCCTCACTGAGAAAACAGGGCTACCACCTGCTTCACAGAGTTGCTGGGGGCATTAAACGATGTGATGCTTGCAAAACCCTTATCAGAGTTTGGGGAAACAAAGCATTTTAAAAGCACCAATCAAGAAAAAAAATCACAACATTCATAGGGAAGAAAAAGAAAAAGATAAAGGCAATGATCTGACTGTTTTTAAGAAATTCTTGCTTTGAAGTTGAAGAAATTCATAAGAGCCAAACTGAGATTTCGCATGTGTTCTTTTAAATGGTTAACATCTATTTAAAATTGTACCGAGGAGGCAGAGAAGAGCAAACAAAATAGTTATACAGGTTAATGATAAATAGCTGACTAAAAGCTCTGAACCATATACTGGTGCAAACATTAGTTGGAGGCTCTGGGTTTTTCCTCCTGATGTTGCCGCTAGAGGGCAGTGTGAGCGCAGAGATGGTGTGCTTTGATACCCTCTGATTATTTTCCTTAATTAAGAGTAAATCAGATTCAGAATGAAAGTTGCTTGCATACCAAGAAATGATGCCATTGAATTTGACTTTGACAAATAAACACAGGATTGAAAAAGATCGACAACTTCATCCTCGAGGAGGCTGGTGGCCTGAACCTGGGGCCCAGGTGGGGCAGAGCCTGGGCAGGCCAGGTTGTGGTCCCTTCCAGCCCACCTCCAGGTGTGGCAACAAGACCCCTCCGGGATGGTGCAGCCAGCTTCTCCCACAGCCCACCAGTATCGCTCATGAGCCGCCCTGAGAATCAGTCATAGCCAGGCTCCCCCACAGTGAAGGCCAAGAGTGAGCCTTTACAGATGAGGAAGGGGAGGTTCAGTGGCCCCTTGCCCCTCACACAGCTGGAGCAGCTGTCAGAGCCAGGCCTCTTCTCACGCTGCTGTCTCCTAGCTTCCAGCTCCTCTTCCTCGGCATACAGTAGCCCTCTGCCCTCTATGCCATCCTGGGACAGTCCTTGCCCATGCCTGCCCCTTCAGAACCAGCCTCCTATCGTGCTAAGTGCTAAGGAACGAGGCCCTCTTTACTTTTACGCCTGAGTCAAAAAACACCTAAAATTTTAGGCCTTTCTCAGCTCCTTGATGACTGTCAACATGCCCTTTTCCTGGTCACCCTTACCAGTGAGAGAGCAAATCAGTGTCCTTTAAAAAAATCGTAACAATATTATATTGCATTTTCTGCTTTTACTAATTTTCCTTATGACAAGATTTCCTTTTATCCCCAGGTTTGTAAGTATTTCATTTGTATGAGTGAATGACATTATATTGGACTCTAACATGCCTTTGACCTTTTATTTTCTTATGAGTCTGAAAGTTTTAAGAGAAATACATGGGTATTGGGGGTTGGCCTGTGGGAAGAAGAGGAAGGCTGACAGCAGATTAGTAAGGATGAAAGAACCATTTCTCCTCTTGCAGTGATCAAATGCTCAGCTACAACCTTGGCAGAAGGCTCCCAGCTGACCACGTGAGTGGGTACCTTCAGTTCAGAGTGGAGGTTACATCTTCTGTGCATGAAGGTGAGATATCTGTATAAGAACATCACTGTAGGAAAAACTTGTTAAATCTTACTCTGTTGTCAGTTTGCATTTGAACAGGGTTGTGTGTCCTGTTCTGAACGTAGAATAGCTGTCAGATGATTACGTGCTGAAGTTTTCCAAGCAGATATGAAAGCCTGTTTATCAAAAAACATCTCTTAGATTTTGCCTGCTTTTGGAAACTGGGCTGTAGAATTTCCAGCAGCGGTGCACACATGTACCTCATCTGTCCAACTGACCAGCAGTGTGTGTGCCCCCTCAGTAGCAGGTGGTAAATCCCAGCACGTTGCTGATACTGTTCAGAGGTCTCAGTGGGCTGACTGGAGTCTTTAAACTGATCGGGCATGAAAAGTTCATTCGTTATTACTGCTCTGAATAAACTCTGTCTTCTCCTTCAGATGCTTCTCCAGAAGCTGTTGGCACAATACTTGGGGTCCACACCGTGAATGGAGACCCAGGAAGCCCCTCTGATGAGGAGGACATGCCCGGGGGCCATCACGACAGCCCACTTTGTTCTAATGGACCCGTTTCGGAGGGAAGTGCTGAGGGGACCCCCAAACATTCTTTCAGGACTAGCTCTACGCTGGAAATAGACTCAGAAGAATTAACCTCTACTTCTTCAAGGACCTCACCTCCCAGGGGACGTCAGGATTCACTCAACGACTATTTAGATGCTGTTGAGCACAGTGGCCATTCCAGGCCGGGCGCAGCCTCTTGCTCAGAGAGGTCCGTGGGAGCCTCTCCGAAACTAAGGAGTAGCTTTCCCACCGACACGAGACTCAGTGCAATGCTTCATATCGACTCAGATGAAGAAGACCACGAGTTCCAGCAAGACCTGGGGTACCCCTCTTCCTTGGAGGAGGAAGGAGGGTTGATCATGTTTAGCAGGGCATCAAGGACTGAGGAGGGGAGCTTGGCATCTCAGGCAAAGCCAGAAGACAACCCAGTGGAGGCTGAGGAAGCCTCCACAAACGAAGCCAGTTCTTTCGAGGAGAAGCCAGAAAATGTTCCAGAGCTTGCAGAGAGCTCTTTACCCTCAGGCCCGGTCCCCGATGAAAGTGAAAATGGCCCAGAGTCTCAGCCAAGGGCTGACCAGGGCGGCGCCGAGTTGTGTGGCTCTCAAGAGGTAGATCAGCCCACCAGTGGGGCAGACACAGGCACTGACACGTCGGGAGGAAGCCGCAGAGCCGTCAGTGAGGCGGAGTCCCTTGATCAGGGCTCTGAGCCTTCCCAGGTGTCTTCTGAGACAGAACCCAGTGACCCTGCCAGGACAGAGAGCGTGAGTGAGGCCAGCACCAGGCCTGAGGGAGAGAGTGACCTAGAAGGGGCCGACAGCTCCTGCAACGAGAGCGTTACCACGCAGCTGTCCTCGGTGGAGACACGGTGCTCATCTCTTGAGAGTGCACGGTTTCCTGAAACCCCAGCCTTCTCTTCTCAGGAGGAGGAAGATGGAGCCTGTGCAGCTGAGCCCGCCAGCAGTGGCCCCGCCGAAGGGGCCCAGGATTCCACGTGCACTCCCGGTTCTTTACCTGTGGTGCAGGTGCCCAGTGGAGAGGAGGACGGGCCAGGGGCAGAAGCGGCCCCTTTACCTGACCAGGAGGAGGTGGGGGAGGTCTGGCAGCGGAGGGAGAGCCTGGAGGGAGCTGCCGCTGCTCCTGCTGCTGCTGAGAGCCAGCCCGGAGAAGCGGGCGATGCTGGGGATGCCCAAGGGGCCTGTGAAGGGGCCACTGCCCAGGAGGAGGGCGCCACTGGAGGTAGGATGCAGAAGACAGCATGGCTCTTGGCTCAAGCATATGTGCTCAGAGAGAAGTCTTGTGGTTTTGTCCCTCAATGCAAATTACACTGCAGGTCAAATATTAGCTGAATTCACCTTGGTGTTCAACAACTTTTTTTTTTCTAATGGATCTTCTATTGCTGAAATAAGAGGCATGTCTAGTAGAAGTCTTCAAACTTAAACAGTGAATCTTGAGGCTCTGCATCAGCGCGGGCACCTGCTCTCCTTAGGAAGGTGACCTCATAGTTGCGGGTGGCCCAGGTCCACCTGAAGGCCGAAGCGTGGGAGCAAGCTGCGCATGTGCCTGCAGTGTGACAGCGCGCTCAGTGCTCCCAGGGTCAGTTCCCCTTGTATGGGAAGTGTGAGGAAAACTAAATAATGGATCTCTGGTGGGGCCTGGGTTTGTAGATACAAAACCGAACAGGCCAACAGCATCGATGTTAGTGTTGTCTATAGAGGTTTTCAGGAACCCTGTAAGTCACTTCTTACCGCATGAAGCCGCAGAACAGAAGGTTAATATGTGCTTTGCATTAAATGTAATATGTTTGCTTTCTGCAGTCCAAGAAGTATCAACTAATTTAGGTGATGCTTTCTGACACTTGAGAATAAGCTGTTTGAGTGTCTGATGATGCAAATTTACGCAGAAAATTTGTATTATGTCTCAATGAATGTGGCTCAGTAGTGTGATCCCTTTAAACTATTTTATTACAGATGCTTTGAAAAGTCTGAGGATCATTTCATATGCTTAAATAGCATAGGCTCGAAAATAGAAATGACTTTCTTATTCTGTAATTTATTTTTCTCCTCAAAGTATCCCCTTCTTTTCTTTCTCCATCTTTTTTTTTCTCCTTTCATTATCTTGGGGTCGTGTGACCCTAAAGCATCGGTGTGTGACCAGGACAGAGGCCAGGGTGGGGAATGGCGGGGGAGGGGGAGGGATGGCTGCAGATGGACATCTCCCTAGAAGACCCACTTCTGACTAAGTGTTCACCTCCTGCTCCCTTCTTTTGTTTCTGGGTCCTCATAGGGGAAATGAGATGAAAGAGAGACAAGAGACTGGCCCCAGGATTTACATTAGGTATTTCTTTTGCAAAGGCTGTTTTAACATTTAAGGGGAAAGCAATCCCCAGGTAACTGTTTACCTTTAATCCTAGGTTCTCAAGCCAACGGCCACCAGCCACTGCGGTCGCTGCCTTCAGTGCGCCAGGATGTTAGCCGGTACCAGAGGGTGGACGAGGCTCTCCCACCAAGTGAGGACCTGCTAACTAAAGGGCTCACCTTAATCAAAGGGTACAAGGGTGACAGGACCCGCAGGACCTAAAGGATGGGTGCCCATTCCCCCAGAGGAAGGGATCTGAGAGCTGCCACCTGACTTTGCAGATACAGCCTGGAACGTGCTTAGCTGACTCTCCGGGCACCGTTCCACCAAATGAAAGGGCAGATGAGGCAAAGTCAATACTGTAATGCTGGTGGAGTGAATGTTGTAGTCAGGGAACGAGATCAGATGTTGTGGACAGTTGGGATATAATAGAAATTTTTTAAAAATTTGCCTGTTGGCAGCATGAATCTGATTATTACGTAAATTGGTACGATCTCTTAGTAAAGCCTAGCTCTATGTAATATGCTACTTTTTATTCACTTACAGTGTTTTGAATCATTAAGTACAGGCTTCTGGCTTTTTTCTTAGGGATACCCAGAGAAGTGGTATTAATTTCAGAAATCAGTCTGCCATTTTTGGAAGCCTGATGATTACCTGGGAATTCGAATGATACTTCATTTCTTTCACTTTTAAGAAATGCAGAGCACTTAAGAAAACTGCTGGGCAAGTTATACAACCTGAATTCAAAGACGAGTGATGCTCGTGGCCTGGACATAATTGAAACTCTATTTAAGTTTCTAGAATTTCTTAAAGCAGTATTACTCTGTGAGAGTAAAACATCTGATGAACAGTGATAAAGCTCAGTAAATACTACTTTTAAGAATACATTGGAAAATACATCTTTCTGCCTTAATTGCTTTTCCTTCTTATTCACCTTCTCTACTCACCATCTTGTATTTCATCATGGCAAGAAGCTGATGCCTTATGTTCTCTGTGTTTTAAAAATGGTAGGACACAAAGGGGGAGTAAGAATGCATTTAAAAGACTTAACTGCTGAGTGGTTAGTTTTGGTGAATGCTGACCGAAAAAGCTGAATGGTATTATGTACAGCATGTTAAAATATTGGCTTGATCGTTATGGAGTTCTGTCGTACGCAGATCTTTCCTTTGTTCATGTATTTGGATAATTGAGGGTGGTTACTTATAGGAAACATATATTTTAAGCAGTTTTAAAAAATCAACCAAGAGATTAATTAACCATTGTGTCATTTTAAGCAGGTGGGAGGGGAAAAACTTCCTTATTGTTTACCCTTGGAGAAAAGATTAGAGACAGAAAAGACAAATATTCCAGGGTAGTATTTAGATATAATTGGAGAAAAATGAATTAGGAGCACCAGGAAAGAATTCTAGGGGTGGGGGGGGGGTTGTTTATGTGTGTATGTGGCTTAAGAGTAAGTACTTAGAGTTTCAGGCACTTGGGACAGAGGCAGAGTATGCCATCAGTGTGTGAATAAATGACATCCTGGCCACAGCCAATTGGTCTGAATTTTGTTGGACTGTGATTTTGCTCTCTAGATTGTGTTTCATGAAGACGGGTACTTTCCTGCTGAAATTGTGATCAATATTTGTGATATTTCTGTGCAGTTGTTTAAACACTGTTATTTGCATTGCCCAGATAGAATACATTTTAGGATTTTAAAAAATAAACAATTGGCAGTTCACTTTAGCAAGTTAATATAGCCAAAAGTGAAAAAAAAAAGCAGCTTAATAGTATAACCAATTTAATGAGCTTCTGATGAACAGGAAGAAAATTCTTAAGAGTTGTTCCTTCTTATGCAACTTGCAAATTTGGGGATTTATATTACCATGGATAGATTACAGACTATGGTCTGGGCATACCTGATGACTGATCAGCTCTGTCCCCACACTGCTTTGCCCCCTTCTGTTCCCATTCTGTCTCATCCTTCATCCTTTTGATAATTTGTTTAATCACTTGGCTGCACCCCCGCACCCCCTGTCAGCCAGTTCTCTGTCTTCCTTTCCTTGCCTGCCAGGCAGCTCTGCTCCTGTCTCTGGCCATGCCTCTGACGTAGAGCTGTGGCATTCTGCATTCTGCCTGGTCTTGTGTCTTCTGCCTTCACACAGCATCTCATGGGCACCTCAGCTACTGGGTGTCTGCTTGGATTGTGCAGACTGGTCCATCTCTGAAGTGACCTGGCGGAATTATTTTGAGGTTAAGGGTTATACTTTTAACATTATTAATTATAATACCTCAAACTTATGTAAGTGCTTTACAGTTTACAAAGCATTTTTACATGCCTTTTTAAAAAATTCTTTTGCAACAGTTTTGTGAAGTAGGTCAAGCAGGCCTTATCTGTAGTTTTCAGATTGATGGATAGAAACCAGCTAATCTGATTCTCTCACTTTATAGATGGGGAAATCAAAGCCCAGATAAATTAAGTAACTTGTGTAAGATCCCATACTAGGAAAGGCTGAAACGGAGTCTCCAGTGTTCTTTCTCCTCTCTCAGGCATTCTGATCTAAGATTAGAAGGTTGGGGACTATTGTGTAGGTAGATGAATGTAAATTCTGAAAGTGCAGTCATCAGCAGAGTGGTGACACGTTGCGGTGTGTTGTCTACTTAGGTGCAAATCAGAGAGTTTAGGGGCTTCACTGAAGCTTTATTATATTGTATTTTGAAGTCAGACCCAGGAAGGCTCAAGAAGTGCTCAGCTTTCTTCTCCTTCCTGCTTAAGATTACTTAGCAGAACCTTAGCAGGCCCTCCGAGTATAAGAAGAGTGGTCACAGTGACGGTACGATCTTGTGGCCCAGGCAGGTCGCTCTGTTGAGCATCTGTGTCAGATTCAGAAGCACCTCTCGGTGTAGCCTCCTATCCCCAGACCTGCAGGACAAGCTACTGAAGCACTGAACCTTGGGCTCGATCCATCCCCCACCCCTCGTTCTTGGTTCTTTCTTTTCTTTTTCCTTATTATGATTGTAACTTTAGCTTATATTCACCTTTAAAATATTTGTGTACTAACAGGTAGTGAGGAAAACCATCCAGCCAAGCTGTGCTTCTCTCTGAAGATTGCAGACTCAGTCATGGGGATTCAGAGGGGTCCCGTGTTACACCACTTCCCTCTTACTGCCAGTCACATGGTAGTCTGTGTGTCAGGGATGTGCCGTGGTCTCTGAACATCTATCTGATCTCTCTCTGTAAAGCAGTTTTCCTTGTTTCTTTACTTTTCCTTCCAGTCTTATTCCTCCTTTCTCGGGACCAGGGAACAGATCTTGGACTTAGTACAAAGACTGCTCAGCCCTAATGACTATCTACCAGTTGGTTCTCAAAATCTTACTCTAGCTTTAGGCCATGGACCATGCGCTGTGACCTTGTGGGCTCTGGAACCCCAACCGCTGGTTGAGAGATATTCTAATGGATCCATACAAAAGAAGAAAGCTCCAGGTCTTAAGGGCGGTGCTGCTCTGTTGAGAGCCTTGCAGGGAAGTCAGTTGAACATGAATATGCACCGAGCGCCTTGAGAATCTGCTGTATCTCTTACTCTGAGGTGACTGATGGGGTGGCAGCTGGAGGCGGTTCAGGACCTGAGGCCCACGGAATGTCAGCAGCATGACGAATCTTCACAACATTGTAAACTGACTATACTTCAATAAAATACATATATTAAAACTAAGAAAAAAAGATAAGTGAAAAAAGATGGGAGAGTACATGCTTAGCATGCACGAGGTCCTGGGTTCAACCCTCCAGTACCTCCAATAAATAAATTAAGTAAGTAAGTAAGTAAGTAACAAGTCTAATTACCTCCCCTCCAACAGCAACAAAAAGAATGACCAACTCAACCCCTTCTGAAAAACTACTTTATTTTTCTCTCATTGGCTCCAGTGTGTCTGAGACTTAACCCATAGCTGCACTGGAGATAGTAGGAAAGTGTTGAAAAGTGGTTTTCCCCCAAAAGGGTAGGATTAGGCATAGATTCAGGATGAACAGTCCACTGATGAGCAGTGGACTCTTGCAGGACTGCAGGCTTCTTGGCAGTATTTTTAGGACTAATGTATAACTGATGTGCTGGGTTCAAATGGGTAGGCCTGGAAAAACACAGGGGAACGTTCTCATTTTTTGTAGGTGTGCACTTTTGTTATTAAATCACCCTTTGAAAAGAAGGTTTGAGAGAAGACAGTGAGTCTGGAAAGTACAATTAATCTTATAAAATTTCTTCTCTGTTTAAAGCTAGGGGCTTTTATTCTCTAGGACCTAAACACTAGTTTAAAGTAAAGAATCCATACTTTAAATCTAAAAAGCTACTTTCTTAAAAATTGAATATTACGGTCCAAAATAGGCAGCTATTTGAGATTTTAAAAACTTTTAATATTCAAATGTAATATACACACGGAAGAGAGCAGTCAGCCTGTTGAATTCTCCCAAACTGAGCCCGCCTGGGCAACCCGCACCACATCACCAGCGCCTGAAAGACCCCTGGTGCCCACTTCTAATTTCTGTTACCCACTCCTGGAGGGCAGAAGCACCTGCTATCCTGACTCCCCAGATCATAGACAGGTTTAACTTAAGGCTTCTGTACTTATGCAAATGGTATCACACTTCCTTGAGTGTTGAAATAAGGGGAAAAAATAATTGTTTAAACTCTGCTGTCTAGCATCTATTACAGAGCTTAATTTTTTCCCTTAAAAACACCTTTAGTTCATTATAACTTCATCATATCTCACCATTTTGGTGAAGATACCATGGTTATTATAATATCGAGAGTGGGTTTATAAATTTACTTCACAGCATTCAATTCCTTCATTTTTCCAAAACCAGTAATAATCAGTTCAGTCCCCGGCTCATAGTCCTCTCACTCCTTCGATTCACGTAAACAGTTCATTGCTGGCCTCCCTTGATATGTGATTCTATCTGTCTAGACGTTGACCTTCTTCCCAGTCTCAGTGTGCACTGAGGTGTGTTCACATCTTCATCTGGTCACTTGGGTGGTTTCCAGCAGAGACCAAGGTCCAGTTTGAAGGGAGTGAGAAGGAAGAGTAATGAGATAAAGAGGGGCCGTAAGGATGACCCCCACCCCCACCCACATACATCGATTCTTAAAGTTAAACATGTCTGAGACCTTCCCTGCTCTACCTCCCTGCTTCTGGAGTTAATGCTGTGACAGTGGCCTTGGAGTAGATTTTCACTCTTTCTAACTCTCTTACTTCCCCTTATTGTCCAGCTATTTAAAGGGACTATTATATTTGAGTCTTGGGGTGTCTAAGCACCCATTTGCTCCTGAACTTAAGTTTGGGGTACTTAGGCTGAAGTTTAGTTCCTGGTAAGCCCACACTTCATGACCTCTGAGAAATCCAGGATTAGCTCCGTGGGTGTGTCCAGTAAATTAGCTGCTGTTTTAGTCCTTATTAATTTATGTTAGTGTTCCTCAAATTCTAGTGTGTCTAGGAATCACCTGGGAAGGCTGTTAAAAATGTATATAATTGAGTCCTGGCTCCAGACAGTCTGATTCTGAAGAGCTGGGCTGTGTCCTGCTAATCTGCATTTTTATTGATCCTCTCAGTGATTCTGACACATACTGTCAGAATCCCACACCTTGAGAAACATTTCTCTAGACAATAGTTTTCAAATATTATCATTGCCATGAAGCTCTTTATGGAAATGAAACCTGCGCAAGACCAGTATGCACTACAGGTAATACTGGAGCCGCAGTGGCCAAGGCGGGGTTGGCAGGTGGTTCCAGGTCCTACTCCTCAGGATCCCGAAGCCCCTGGCCCAAGAGTCTTAATGAATTAGAGTCTATTTTGGGAATTCTGGCCTGGACATAAGATATTGCTAGGTCCTTACTGACCCTAAGGTAATAAAATGGGTGTCATGTTGCAGATTCATGTCATTTTAGAACTGTTTACTTTTGTCCTCTCATTTTTCAGGTAAAGGAACTGTGGTCCGTAGAGGTGTAATAATTTGTTAAAGGTCATGTGGCAAAGGCATGACAAAGCCGTGGCCAGATATAGGCCTCCTGTTTGCAATTTGGTGCACTAGAGACACACACACACACACATACACACACACACCCTAACACATTGCTCTCAGTCTCACTGCACACTGATTATAGACCCCATTTTACAATGTGGCAAGACAAGGAAGTAAATGCTAAGATCCCAGTGTTCTAACCCCACCTGTCTGATTTTAGCATTACCTATGAAAGAAGCTTTGATGCTGGGCAGTAATTTCTCATATGCCTCTCAATCAAGAACAAACCAGGCCTGATATGAAGCCTTATAAGAGGGGAGGGCACAGCTCAGTGGTAGAGCACGTGCTTAGCATGCAGGAGGTCCTGGGTTCGACCCCGAGTATCTCCATTAAAAAAAAAACTACCTCTCCCACCAGAAAAAAAAGAAAAAAACTTATAAGATATTAAAGCCACCGTATCCCCTCCTCCCCCTGCAAAGTAACTGACGGATGATGACAGAGGGTGGCCTTCCTCATGGCACCTCTGCTGTCTTTGCCCTGATGGACGGGCTTTGACCACTTGGGTAAGCGTGGATGTGCCATTCACAAAGAAGCCAACGGCACAACAGTCTTTCTCAATTCAATGCCAAGTGTCCGCTTGACAGCAGTGTTACAGGACTTCTCTTTATGAGGACTTAGATAACAACCTCAACTTAAAGATATGGTCTCTGATAGGGATAGTCTTAATGTGCATCCAACATCCCATGTTCTTAGAAAGCAAGTTTTTGGACGTTGTTTTCTTATTCTCCCCATTGCATAGAAATGTCTTTATTGAAATACAAATGAACTTTATTCCTGGCCTTCGTGGAAGGTGAATGCAAGAATCATTCTTTTTTAACAGCTTTACTGTACTGAAATTATTTGTTCATTCATTACACGCTGTGTGCAAGGCACAGCGGTGAATATATTTGGAGATACCCCCTCCCCCTCATTTGCCATCGTATGACTCATACAGGCCACATTTCATGGGGTAAATTCTTAAGTAGTTTATTCAAGGAAAAAGTTTCGTCTTTGAATTTTTTAAATTTTCTTTTGTCAGAAAATGGAAAGTACACAACAGTGTGTTTTCTTTTCTGCCTTAACTGACAGAAAACTTAGAGCCAAATTTTAGTTATAACCTTATCTTGGGAGTTTGGCAGAAGTCTCTCTCTGCTTCCTTTAGTCGGCTTCTGTTCTGTTTTTATCCCTAATTGACCTATTCTACATTTTTTAAAAAATTGGAAGCTACTGTAAACATTCTTGGGAAAAGGAATGGCCATTTCTTGCCATGTGCATTTGATTTGACATATGTACTTGAATTATCCTGGCTCTAATGAGAGAGGAATGCAGTGGGAATACTTGGTTCTCAGAATCTTTGAGGTGGGGAAGTATGCGAGGCAAGGAGCAAAACAAAGGAATAGATCAGACGGTTTTGGAAAATGGTTCCCGAAAATGTCCTTATGGGCTTACTGTTTGCCAGCGGGTGCAGGCTGAGCATGAGGTCTTTTGGAAACGCCTGCTGATAGGATTGTAGCTGTGCCCAGAGAGCTCGGATTTGGCAGGGCGGTTCTCTGTGGGTGGATGTTACCTTGCAGTGTGAGTGACACGGAGTCATTTGTTGTCCTTGTGGTGTTTTTCCTCAGCCCAGTTTTTCTTTCCCTTGCCATTTGTCATAAATTATGATGGGCTGAAATCAACAAAAAGAGATCTTTCCACTCCCAGCTGAGGCAGCCCTCAGTGGTCCTCCAGGGCTGGCTCGATGTACCGCACAGGTCTTTCCAGCACTAAGGGCTTTGTTGGAATATTTGCTCCGTTCACCTCCAGAGTAAATGCCACAGCTGGTCAGGAGCCAACATGTTTTCCTCCTGGGCTCTAGAATTAGACCCATGGTGTCTGTTGATAAGCTGTGTGATCACATAGCTGCTCAAGAGAAAGGTGCTTATTAATTTAAAAAAATTGACATCAAAATAGCTGTGTATGAAGAACTTTCCTGTTTAGAGAATAGATCTCTGCTGTTTTTGTATGTTGCTATATAAATTACCCTTCCCAAATGCAATCAATTTTAAAATGTTGCCTTTTGTAAAGATCAGCTCATGCTCTGCTTGTTTGAATCAGGGATTGGTCTTTTAGAGAGTTCACAGTGGTGTGAGGTCTGGCCCTGGAGACAATCTGCTTGCTGTTTTTACTGAACACACACTTAATACATTTGTATACAAAGACTAACACACTTAATGTAAAATTTAAAAATCTTTTGAATCATTGTATTTATTTGAGGTTGGACACAAGTAATTAACTTTGTTCTGAAATGTATGTATTCATCTTTGGGAAAGTGCAAATGGAAGTTTGTTGATAATGATGCTGTTTGATGACTAGGCTAGCATTCTTTTCTTCTGAAGACTGCATTTCCTACAATTGTGTGTAAATAAGCACATGGGCGTTTCCAGCTATGAGTCTTTCATCTAAGCTGGAAATAACAGCCAAATCAATTTTTGGTGAGAACAAACATCAGTACTAACTTTGATGTGAATATCTAAACTATTCAATACCAACGAATGTATTTTAAACGCTGGTGCTCGAGCATTGCGGGCAGATCTGGGAGGATCTTCTGCATTCAGGGCTTCTTTCAGAAGTTGGTTACACATGCAGGATCTGTTTACAAACAGATTCTGGAGTGGACTGGGGGGAAGTGCCAGATGATGCAGTTGAGGTATGTGTTATTAGCCCCAAATTATAGCATGTCAGAGAGAGAAAACACGTGCTGCGTAATGAACACCATTAATGGTTCAGCAGCTCCTCCTAACCCTCTCCTCGCGTTACTGCTGTTTAGACTGGGAGGCGCGTATTGACAGCCATGGCAGGATCTTCTATGTGGATCATGTAAACAGGACCACGACGTGGCAGCGGCCAACAGCTCCTCCCGCCCCGCAGGTGCTGCAGAGATCCAACTCCATACAGCAGATGGAGCAGCTGAACCGGCGGTGAGGATGGGCATTTTTGCTCCAAATGTTCTATTTTGTGGTTGGGCTAATTTTCACCTGTGCCAAATGGAAGGCACGGATGTCTCTTTCATCTTTGGGTATCCTGTCATTAAGTTGGAGTTGTTACCTCGATAGACTTCATTGAATGTCTCTTGGTTAAAAAATGATAGCCACACACATACACAGCTTGTTTGGAAACTAGAGAGGAAATAAGTAATGCTATCCCTTATAGTCAACCCAAGGCATCGATTTTTAGTAAAACAGAGTGTATACACTTACCTTATTTGAAGTCATACAGCTTTTTAAATATCTAGAATCTTCATTTGTGATACATCTTCATTTATTAACCTAAGCTTTTAAAATCTGTCGTTCTTTGTCAAAAACTAATTGCTGTGGAACAAAGGTTCTTTGCTTTAACAATACAGGAATTTGGTTTTCTTTGGTGAAGGGCCACAATTTTTTTTTTAAGATTTCATTAATTTGTTACAAAAATGTTCCACAAATGATGGACAGAAAAAAATTCAGTCCAACAGATTTACTTAAACAACAGATGGTGCAGAAGATCAGGGAATGGGGGTTTGGGGAGGAACGGGTCGAGGCTGAGAAGCTGGTGAAAACTTCTGGGCTCTGGGGGAGCGGTTGAGCCCCATGCTTTAAAGGCTGCTGTGGTGTAACCCCGGGCTCCTGGTTTTAGATATCAGAGTATCCGCAGAACCATGACTAACGAAAGGCCTGAGGAAAACAGCAGTGCCATCGATGGGGCTGGGGAGGAGACCGACTTCCACCAAGCCAGTGCAGGTAAGAGCCTTTTGGTTGGTTGGTTTTGTAATCTCACAAAAGTAGAACACAAATAAGTGAGGATTTCCAAGAAATGAAGCTTTCTTTAAGAGAACGTTTGATCTTCATTACCATTTGGTCATCCAAGTCAGAAAGCTGAATTCACCAGACACCTCTTCTTCTGATCCTCGGCTTTTTGTTAGTACTAAGAAAAGAATCACAAAACCAGATAGAATATAAATTGTCACAAAACCAGATAGAATATAAATTGTTTAATCTCTGGATCTGTGGAATAGAGGAAAAAGATTGAATATGATCACTTGAAAAAAGTCTCAGGATGCATTAAATTGTTAATAGTGACTAGAAATACTATTGACTTCCATTTTAGTGTGATTAACAATGACTGTTCTTAGGTTTTATGCCTGAATTGACAGGTAAGAAGAAAGCATTTAGGGGATTAAAACAACAGCAAATGCTATAGTATTTTTTGGTTCTTTTAAAATATAGATGGAAGTGAATAGGTATGTTTCCACCAGGTGGAAAGGCTTCCCTGAAGCCTCTGTGTCTGCCCCTCCTAGATTTCCGTCGGGAGAACGTCCTGCCGCACTCTACCTCCAGATCCAGGCTGACGTTGCTGTTGCAGTCGCCCCCTGTGAAGTTCCTCATCAGCCCGGAGTTCTTCACCGTGCTGCATTCTAACCCTGTGAGTATCCATCCGAAAGGGGGGTGGAAAAAGCAACAGGCCAAAGGAAATTAGCCCCATTTACGTAGTAACGGCAAGAATGGTAACAGCGAATGTTTACTGAGCACTCCGTGTGTTCCAGGCTCTGTGTTAAGCACTACATGTGTTTTCACCCAGTTCGTCCAAGCAAACCTGTGAGTTAGATAAAACCTCCATTTTTCCAGATGAAGAAACTGAAGCACAGAGAGGTTAACTAGGTTATACAGCTACTAAGCGGGATTTTCGGGGTTACAATCCCAGAGGTACTGACGAGTCTGTGCTCTTAGCAACCGCTTTATTCTGCCTGTACAAATATAGCCAAATACCTGAGCATTGACACCAGGCAGTGGTCAGATTGGGCTTTGAGACTGTAGCAGGGCTCTCCAAAAGAACGGATGTGAAGTGCATACGTAGCTGTAATCTGAGAAAACAAACAAATGAGGAATATTTTAAAGCTATATGAGGCTTCTGTGGGAGGTCAGTATTTTTCCAGGGAGGTATGGGAGGAGGGGGCGTGGTGATGTGTTAGGACGGGGTGGATTTAAATTTCCCTCCTTTTACTAATATGTCTGCCTATTCTTTAGAAGCCCTACCTCTGTAATTTCACTAGAGGCCTAAAAATGTTAGTATCAGCTAAAAGAATAAATCTTTTGTTAACCAGGAGTTTATAGAAAAAAAATTCAGCCTTTTAATCATTATTTAAATAGAGAGAAATCATTTTGACTCTCTCCTTTACCTGTTTTCTTTCCTTTCCTCCAGCCTTGACTTTCAACCAAAATTCTACCCTTATCTTGATCTTGGTTCCTTAACCAAGAAACCCCTCACTACCCACCCCTTACCTCACCCCCTTAAATCCTCCTGCCAACCAGTTTCTCTAACTCTATTCATGTTGCTCCTTTCCCACATTTACTTTGGAATTACAATCTGGAATGGGAGGTTTTCACTTCATTCAGGAAGTATTAACCTCCTGAAGACACTGAGGGATATGAAGTCCATGGGGTGACAGTGGAAAATGCTACACACTTGTTTTCTGATCATGAGCATGGTATTTGCCTAAAATATTTCGAGAAGAAAACAGAAGTGTTTGAAAATATTACATATGTTAAGCCAAAACCTTTTGTGTGTGTGAAGAAAAAAATTAGAGTGTGATAGGAAATTTGGTTAGAAAGCGTTTCTTTGTGATGTGGATCTTAGATCGTGTCACAGAGTAAATAATGGACATTGGTTGGTTAAAAGAAAAAGGAGCAGGAGGGCCTTCTAGGTGGAGGGTATGCATGAGTGAAGAAAGAAGTGAGAAGCATGCCCTGTATGCATAATGAGTTATTTACTCATCCAATAAATATTACTGAAAACCTGGTTTATGCTAGTAATTATGGTAGGTGCTGCAGACATAGTGTGGAGAAGATCAAATTCTTACTTGAGTGGAGAGAGCATGAGGGCAGCCTTAGAAAGATGATTATAGAATGCCTCTCTGAGAAAATGGTTTTGAGTTGGAAGCTGAAAGATGAGAAATCACCAACCATGGGAAGAGCCAGGGGAGGCTCACTGCAGTAACTTACACAGCGAATACAGTGACCACAGGGCTCAGAAGAGAGCAGAGGGGCTGCTGTGTAATGATAGGAAAAGGAGATGGGGTGATACTCAGTTGGAAAGTCAGCAAGATCCAGATGGTAGCTCTGGCTGTGGGACACAGCAGAGGATTTCAAGTTTCTTCTGAGATCCGTGGGGAGCCATTGTGCAATTAGAGTGACATGCTCAGGTTTGGAGATGGGAGAAAGGCAAGAGTGGAAGCAGGGTGAGGAGAACAGAGGCTCTGCATGGTCCAGGGCGAAAACAGTGATGGCTGGAATCGTGGTGTTGGCATAGGGGTAGAGAGAAGTGCTTGGATCTGAGAGATGTTTTGAAGGTAAAGTCAGTATGACTTGGTGAAAAATTGGCCATCAGGAATGGGGAAAAATGAAAGAAGCAAGAAATACTTTTAGGGCTTTGGTTAGACAGAGGAATTAATCCTGCTGGAGCAGCGGTGCTAATGTGGGAGTAAACAGCTCGAACTGTGACTAGGTATGAGGGAGACACAAAGAAAGAGCTTTGTGTTTCCATAAAGTGTAGGT